CTGTTTTAACATCTTAAATTGTTAACTATTGGTCCTGATTATGACAAATAAGGTTTTTCTTGTACACACATGACTTTTCATAAAGTTTTGGCTAGGAGGGTGTGCATAGATTCCCTAAAGTCCATCATGGATCTCAGGTTAAGAAAAACATTACAGGCCAGTCGCGGTGGCTCACGCCAGTTATCCCAGCACTTTGGGAGGCGGAGGCGGTCAGATCATGAAGTCAGCTGTTCAAGACGAGCCGGACCAATATGGTGAAACCACGTCTCTACTAAAAATACAAAAATGAGCCAGGCATGGTGGTGTACACCTGTAGTCCCAGCTACTTGGGAGGCTGAGGCAGGAGAATCACTTGAACCCGGGAGGCACAGGTTGCAGAGATCCAAGGTCGTGCCACTGCACTCTAGCCTAGGCGACAGAGCAAGGCTCCATCTGAAAAAATATATATATATATTTGAATTTGTCAGATATTACATGTGATATAGTCAAAAGAAAAGCAAGGATTTCAACTCTAGGAATTTAAGTAACAATTATTATTTACTCTAGAAGAACGTTTAAAAATTAATCTCTTTTTTTTAATTTTTATTGCATTTTCGCAAGCCCATTCAAAAGTGGGCGAAGGATATTAAAATCTCTTATACTAGAAAAATTTTATTTGAAGTTCAGCATTTCTTTTGTTTTGTCTTTTGTAAAAGTAAAATTCATATTTTATTTTAAAAAATAAAAATAAGACATATACTATGATCTCATTCTTATCTGCCTATTCAAACATGTTTTTCTATCTTTCTGTATGCATGGTAAGATGTCTAGAAGAACATTCCATCCCAATGTTGATGTGGATATTTATATGGATGGATGCATTTTGGTTGGCAGGTTGTTTTTTTCCTAAACTTTTCTGAAATATTTAAATTATCTAAAGATAAACAGGTAAAATTTGTAAAAACAACCATGATGTCATTACTCTTACAAAAAAGAAGAATCAGTGGAAGCATCATCCACTGGGAAGAGTAATGAACATGGAAGCAAAAAATCTGAAGCTCAGTATGATGCTGGGGAAGTCAGTCATTGTGAAACTTCTCTGGGCCACTGTTTCCCCATAGATAAACCAGAAAAGACCAAGGTTGAATTAAATGAGCTTAACATTTTCTCTCAATACTAGCATCTTATTAATTTAAGTGGTTAATTTCTATGTAAATTATTAGGAAATAATTTTAAAAATAAGTTTACAATGTTATCAATTATTTCGGATATAACTAGACTTAATGAATAATGCTCTTTTCCTTTGTTATGAGCTTTTATAGTTTGACCACATTACAAACTACATAGTACACCATATCCTTGACATTCTCAAAATATTGATAGGCAACTTTCTCTACATCAATAATTAATGAGATGAACTAATGAGAATAAAAGTACAGAAAGTCCTTCTGGTAACATACACATTGTTTCAAGTGTGTGGCGGAAATGTTAACTGTTGGTAATTAAGAGAAGGAAATGAGGGGAAAAAAATGCATAACCCAAAGTTTCCTTCTCAATCTGAACATGTGTTAATAACAAAATACTGACAAAAACTGTTCAAATCATTAAGAGAATTTGGATTTGTAATTAAGCTCACAAGAAAATGACAAAACAACTATAATAAGCATTTATACAGGTATTTCTTAATTCTAAGTGGTTTTGATATATTGAGTTTGTGTGTGTGTGTGTGTGTGTGTGAGTGTGTTACCTTCAGAAACCACAGAAGCCAATCTATCAACTGGTTGTTTCTTACATCAGGTTAATCTGCTGAACCAAACAGCTGCTAGTATTTTAATCTTCCTTTAAATAAAAATTCAAGTTTATATACCTCAACAATGGAGCAGTATTTCTCCTCATAAATTCTAATTCAGTGTCTCTGATCATAATCCTCAAATTTGTCTTTACATTGTTGAATTATATTTAAACAAATTCATCCTATTAAGAATGGCATTTACCATGCTGAGATGCTAATGTGATTTGGCCAACATAAGAGTTGTTATCAACTATGTCTCTTAAAATTAAATGTTGCAGGTGCTGTGTAACACTTAAATATTGTCACACTGAGAGACAATTATTTAAAAAGAACTCACCTTAGCAATTATTACCGACTGAACTGGGTAGCAAACAGTTGCTCCTAAAGTGGCCAGTCCCAGAGGATAAGTAATTTTCTTAAACTTAGAACCTATAAAATGCAAATAAATTATTAAACTCCAAATAGATGCCACCAGAGACTTGATGTTCTTATACTGTAATGCTTTCTTTGCTCCCCTGGTAAGCCATCACCCTCTGTTAAATTACTTTTTAGGTAATTATACCAATCAAGATGGAAGCTAAAAACACCCTTAAGGATCTCAACTCAATTACTCCTTAGCTGTCATGTCCAATTTAACAAAAGTATTCTCAATCTAAATACTGACAATTTCCTACACAAAAGGAATTGATGATTTTCTTCTGCTTGAAAGCTAGGTATTTTTCATGTCCTATGAAACCCAAAGTTATAACCACAATTTTGCAAATATCTAATAAAGCATGATAATGTAGATAATTAACTACTGTGTTTATGACACCATGTTAAAGTGAAATGGACTCTCTCTTAATGTCCTTTCTTGATTGAGTATTTAGGAAGGTGAATGACTCAACTAAATAATCACCTAAGGACTTTAACAGGTACATAACTCCTTCATGTCACTGATTTAGAATACTGAATTACTTATGCAAGTAACTTGACGTAAGTAATGCACATCCAAAAGTGCCTTAACTATACATCATTCACGAGTTATTTTCATATCTTTTTTGATACCAAAATCCTTTCAAAATATCTTTCAAATAGAATCTCCCTGGGAACTTCAATATATAAAACCTATAAGCTTGATGCTGCTCTGAGTAACTTGGGGGTGGGAAGCTCTGTATCAAACCCTGGATGTGTGGTTTTTCCTTTATCCCGATACCACCACTAAACACATACATGACACTGAGGGTTCTACAGAATAGTTTGAAATCCACTGCTCTAAGCCATAGCTTAGTTCCATACATACAACTAGACTGTTGGTTCAAAATAATATGTATGCTAAATGCCTATTTGAGTATCTTAGACTGTAATTATGATCTGGGCAATTGGAAGATGGGTTTTTAAATTGGGATAAGTACTTTTATTATCGGAAACAGCTTATACAATCCCTAATCTAACAAGGAACAGCCTATCTGGTATATTATAAAAACTAAAATGAATGTTTGCAGGCAAATTTGCAGTTTAGGGAAGGTAAAAACAAGAGTTCTGCCTGGTTTAACTATTATTAAGGAAGCCTGCAAGAACAAATTACTCTGATATCTGCTATTCACCTCTATTTTTAAATAAAATGCATCCTGACAAGCAAATGATGATGAGGCATTTCATCACCACCATGCCTTTGTTGCAAGAGCTCCTGAAGGGATCACTAAACATGGAAAAGAGAAATCATTATCAGCCACTACAAAAACACACTAAAGTATACAGACCAATGACACTATGAAGCAACTACATTAACAAGTCTGCAAAATTAACTAGCCAGCATCATTATGACAGGATCAAATTCACACATAACAAAATTAATCTTAAATAAAAATGGGCTAAATGCCCAATTAAAAGACATAGAATTGCTAGCTGGACAAATAGACAAGAGCCACCAGTGTGCTGTATTCAAGAGACAGGTCTCAAGTGCAAAGGCACACATAGGCTCAAAATAAAGGGATGGAGGAAAATTTACCAAGCAAATGGAAAGCAGAAAAAAACGGGTTGTAATCCTAGTGTCTGACAAAATAGACTTTAAACCAACAGATGTCAAAAAACACAAAGAAGGACATTACATAACAGTAAAGGGTTCAACTCAACAAGAAGAACTATCCTAAATCTATATGCACCCAATACAAAAGCACCCAGATTCAAAAAGCAAGTACTTAAGGACAAGTACTTAAAGACAAAGAGACATAGACCCCCATATAATAATAGCGGGAGACTTTAATACCCCACTGTCAATATCAGACAGATCATTGAGACAGAAAATAAACAAAGATATTCAGGACTTGAACTCAGCTCTGGATCAAGTGGACCTGATAGATATCTACAGAACTCCTTCCCTCCCCCCAAAAAACAGAATATATATTCTTCTCAGTGCCATGTGGCACTTACTCTAAAATTGATCACATAATTGGAAGTAAAACACTCCTCAGCAAATGGCAAACAACTGAAATCATAACAGTCTCTTAGACCACAGCACAATCAAATTAGACCTCAAGATTGAGAAACTCACTCAAAACCATATAACTACATGGAAATTGAACAAGCTGTTCTTGAATGACTTCTGGGTAAATAATGAAATTAAGGCAGAAATCAAGATGTTTTTTGAAATTAAGGAGAGCAAAGACACAATGTACCAGAATCTCTGCGACACAGCTAAAGCAGTGTTAAGAAGGAAATTTATAGCACTAAATGCCCACATCTAGCAAGATCTCAAATCGACATCCTAACATCACAACTAAAAGAACTTGAGAACCAAGAGCAAACAAACCACAGAGCTAGCAGAAGACAAGAAATAACCAAGCTTCAGGGCTGAAGGAGACAGAGACACAAAAATCCCTTCAAAAAAAACCCAACAAATCCAGGAGCTTTTTAAAAAATCAATAAAATATACTGCTAGCTAGATTAATAAAGAAAAAAGAAGATTCAAATAAACACAATCTGAAATGATAAGGAGGATACCACCACTGATCCCACAGAAATGTAAAATACCAACAGAGAATACTATAAACACCTCTGTGCAAATATACTATAATATCTAGAAGAAATGGATAAATTTCTGGACACATACACCCTCCCAAGACTGAACCAGGAAGAAGTTGAATCCCTGAATAGGCCAGTAAAATGTTCTGAAATTGAGGCAGTAATAAATAGCCCACCATCCAAGCAAAGCCCAGGACCAGATGGCTTTACAGCTGAATTCTACCAGAGGTACAAAGAATAGCTGGTACCATTTCTTCTGAAAGTATTCCAAACAACTGAAAAGAAGGGACTTCTCCCTAACTCATTCTATGAGGCCAGCATCATTCTGATACCAAAACCTGGCAGAGATACAACAAAAAAAGCAAACTTCAGGCCAATATTCCTGATAAACATCAATGCAAAAATCCTCAATAAAATACTTGCAAACTGAATCTAGAAGCATATCGAAAAGCTTATCCACCATGATCAAGCTGGCTTCATCCCTGGGATGCAAGTCTTGTTCAACATATCCAAATCAATAAATGTAATTCATCATGCAAAAAGAACTAAAGACAAAAACCACACAATTAACTGAATAGATGCAGAAAAGGCTTTTGATAAAATTCAACATCCCTTCATGTTAAAAACTTTCAATAAGCTAGTTATTAAAGGAACATGCCTTAAAATAATAAGAGTCATTTATGACAAACCCAAAGCCAATATCATACTGAATGGGCAAAGGCTGGAAACATTCCCCTTGAAAACTGGCACAAGACAAGGATGACCTCTCTCATCACTCTTATTCAACATCGTAGGAGAAGTTCTGGCCAGGGCAATCAGGCAAGAGAAAAAAAAATAACGGGTATTGAAACAGAAAGAGAGGAAGTCAAATTGTCTTTGTTTGCAGATGACATGATCCCTATATCTAGAAAGCCCTCTCAACTCAGACCAAAAGCATCTTAAGCTGATAAGCAACTTCAGCTACGTTTCAGGATATAAAAATGTGCAAAATGTGCTGGCATTCCTATATACCAACAACAGGCAAGAAGAGTCAAATCATGAATGAACTCCCATTCGCAATTGCCACAAAAGAATAAAATACCTAGGAATACAGCTAACAAGGGAAGTGAAGGACCTCTTTAGGGAGAACCACAAATCATTGCTCAAGGAAATCACAGAGGACACAAACAAGTGGCAAAGCTTTCCATGCTCATGGATGGGAAGAAACAATATTGTGAAAATGGCCATACTGCCCAAAGTAATTTACAGATTGAATGGTATTCCCATTCAGTTACCACTGACATTCTTCACAGAATCAGAAAAAACTATTTTAAAATTCATATGGAACGAAAAAAGAATCATATTCCTGACTAGCTCAGAGCTGTGCCTTCCAATATAAGAAATTCCGTTTGGGGACAATGTCTGGCAACTGGGGTGTGGACAAAGGTTGGATGGAAGGTGATCAAAATGGCTAGTGACTATAGAAATACACTATCTTAGTAAGGGCTTGGAGAAATGAAAAACCTGTACACAAATGTTCATAGTAGCTCTATTCTGAGCCACCCAAAATGGGAAACAACCCAAATGTCCAACAGGTAGGTGATAACGTAAAATGTGGCACATCCATATGAGGGAATACTACTTAGTAACAAAAAGGAACAACCTACTGACACATGCAACAATTTTGACAATCTGAGTGAAAGAAACCAGTCTACGCATTCCATTTAGATGGCATTCTCAAAAAGACAGAACTACAGTGACAGAGAACAGATCAGCGTTTCTGGGGTTTAGAAGCAGGGAGAAGGTGTGACTACAGACAGATTGCATGAGGCACTTTTGGGAATGATGTAACTGTTATGTATCCTGGTTTGTGGTGATGGTTACATGACTCTATGTATATAGTAAAACTGATAGAATTGTATGAATCTACTGTATGATAATGTTAAAATAAATTTTTAAAAAATATATAGCTGTTCCTATTAAAATTATAATTTGTCATTTTGTTTTCTAGGTAACTTTTTCTTAAAAGACCTTAAGAGTCACTAACTACCAAAAAAATTTGAGAGTTTTACCTTAATGCAAACATATATACTAATCACTCAAAATACTTTTCCCACTCATGACCACCCATATTCTGTGGGTACTTTAAAGAGTTGAGACAGAGATACTTATATGTGAGGCAAAATTTGACTTTCTCTTGGTCTCATCCTGCCCAATGTTGTTGGGACTGACATGGTATCTCATTCTAATTTTCATCTGCATTTCCCTAATGACTAATGATGCTGAACAGCCTTTGGAATAGCTATAGTTTTGAAAACAAAAAGTCCTTATAAAAGTAACCATGGTGTGAATACAGAATATAAAAATTTTTACAGTAGCCTATCCAGATAATATTCAATAAAGCATATGAGGTTTTCTCTTGACCATAAAATTCAAAAACAAATATCATGGCACTAAGAGAGAATATACTTTTAAAAACCTTACCTTTTCTCGCTGAAACCAAGCCCACCAATCCTGAAACTGTAATAACTCCCATTTTCGGAAGAAAATCTTGAGGAGGATTCTTCAGATAGACATAAGCATCTCAGGAAATCAGTTAAAAGTTAACATAAATAACTGAATTCTACTGAACATTCTATACAGTTATAATGTAGGAAGGTTAAAGAGACTTGCTAAGATAATAATGTATGGTTCAAACACTCTTCAAAAGAGTTATACATAATGATGATATGAGTAGCAACCTAAAAAACTAGATTTACTTGTTACAAAATAAAATTTTCCTTCCATAGTTGATTTAATATTTATTTTCTTAATGATACTGGTGATTATTACTATAAAGAAATGTAATGCTAGAGGACACATCATAATATGGGTTATCATAAGGTAAATTCCCGACTGTGTATGTATTATATCTCTATAACGAACATGCTTTTGCCTTTATCTGTTCAAACACTGGTGGCTTCCTGTAAGAACTGAAATAGATACTTTATTAAGGAGCTTTGAATAATAATTTAAGGATACACACAGCTACCAGACCTTGCTTGCCACTACTCCCTAATAACCTCAGGACAGTCACTGCTGTTGGTTAAAGTCAATCATCAGTGAGCAAAGTAGACAAAGAGTGGGTGAAAGTCCAGAGTTCTTGGCTTTCTATATATTTAAATTGTTTCTGGTTCCAAACGTACACTTTTCTATCATAGTTAATTATTTAATGGCAGTCACATATTTAATCTTATTCCACAAGATTGATGAGGAATATAATTTTGAATGAATTCTTAATACATTAAATAACAATCATTCAAATACAGATCATCAGCTTCATGGAAACATTCAAAATTTTAGTTCATCTTTCTATCTCCTATACATATTTATTATGACAACTGGCATAAGCCAAGAATATTAGAAAGCTATATCTGTTGCTAAACACCATTAACAAGCTAAAGAGTCAAATGCAACTGGTTTTTAGCCATTAGCTTAAATATTCCAGGGTTAGTGATTGCTAAAACATTTCCTAACAATTGACAGCAAAATACAATGTATTTTAACAGCAAATAGCACTTAAACTAATTAGCAACAATGGAGACATGTTTTTAATTTATGCTTTATGATATATAATATAGAATTTGTAGTCAAAACAGACCTCCGTTTGTATACTGGCACTACCACTTCTAGTTATGTGACCTCAATAACCTATTTAACCTTTCTAAACCTCAGTTGCCCTCATCTGTAAAATGGGAATAATTATAATACCAATACTAACAGAATTGTGACAAAAATTATGTAAAATGCTTAGTACAACACCTTAGCCAATAGTAACTGCTGAATAGTGGATATTATTGCTTTGCTATTATCAATAAATTTCTATACAGAGTACCTTCTGAGTTGATAAAAGCATGACAATGGATAACATACCGAGTTAATTTTTTTTGCATTTAAACAATGCAATTTAAAAACACAATAAAACATTTCTAATTATTCACTCACCTACCTTTTCCAAATTGTACTGTATCCATTATCCCATTTTTCACAAAGACATAAACACCCTAAGCAAAAAAAAAGGGGGGGGAGAGGAAGACATCTGCATTTTTGAAGCTGTTGATAATGAGATAAAATTGCCTGCATCTCTGAGATTATATTAAAAGGCTGACTTACCATTATGTCCAAATCTAAATCCAGCTTTTTTATGTATTCACTATGAGAATACTCATTTACTTTGTTTTCATTTTCTGCTTTTCCTTCTATTTAACATGGATAATATTTATACCATTTTTCTCATATAATTGGGTAATGTAATGTCTATGAAATAATCAGAGCAGAAAAGATACTGAAAAAAATAAAGATTTATCATCTTATTTTATAATGACCTAGAAAAATGAATAGAATTTAAATAAAGTAAGAAGGGAGGGATATTTCAGTTCAGAACCAACATCTGATTAATAAAGATGCAATAGGAACAACATGATGATTTGTGGAGGGAAAAAAAGGGCAAAATGCCTAAAGCAAAGGGCTTCATCTTCTTCCCTTTTCTTAGTGTACATTAGAATGAGAAAAAAAAATCTAAATTACCTCAGGACAGATATCATCCTGCATAGACCAGTGTTTACCCTGTTTTTAAACAGGAACATAAATTCTCTAGAAATCAAAACTATGTTTATCTATTAGAGGAATTAAAGCTTTAAAGCAAATCTTTAATTTTACCTGTTTCCAACCGATTTATTTTAGTGCATAAGAGTGTTAAATATAGTTATTGTGTGCTAGGTATTATATCACTTACATAAGAAAAAAAAAGGAAGTCACAAAATGATTTACTCGTGGTCATGTATTGCTCTGTTGAAGAACCCAAAAAACACAATCCAAATATATGGTCTCCTTCTCTGAACTAGCTGCTATGAAATCATGGGATAAAAACAAGAACAAAAGAGATTTTCAAAGCAGAGAAAATAGAGATTATTATATTGGACAGGAAAGAAATAAGTTTTTGTTATAGAGATAGCTTGGTTTTATAATTTTGTCTTTGATATTTTAATGGTTATCAGAGAGATGCAGAGGAGAGGTTCATCTTGGTTTAAAATTGTGCAAATCAGCATAAATGCTAACTGCCATTGAAGTACATTTCTGTAGAGACTGTCTTGAGAATATTTCACCTTCAAAATTAAAATACCTATTGACCAGTCGATTGGGAATCATTTAGCCATTAAGGAAGAAAATTAGTCATCTTGTAAAAAAAAAATTTTCCTTATCTCTGCTAAGGAATTCATTTTTAACACATGGGGTCAGTGTTACCTAAATTTCAAAACACTAGGCTAGGAGTAGGAATTAAATTTGCTCTACATGATTCTAGGCTTAATGTGGAACAAATTTGAGTCAGACATATTTTTTAAAGAATAGATTACATTTTTAGGGGAAAATTAGAAAAGTTGTTTACATTTAGGACGAAATGCACTGGAAATTGCCTTTCTTCAATCTATTTGTTTCATCATATTAATGGAATAAAACACTCTTTTCAGTCTTAAATTGGATGATGGTTACAAGAGCAATTTTTAAAGACCTCTCAGGAACATTTTATTTCACTGAAGAAAAATTTGAGAACATTATGGAAAATTAGGTCTCAGGAGGCTTAAGTCTGAATCATCTAGCTATTGGAATATAGTCATAGGGGCATGACGCAGACTATAATTGGTTAAAGTATTTCCCTCTTAGATCAAACTAGGAATAGTGTATAGTACAACTAGTACCACTAGAATTATACGAGAACCACTAGTTTTCAAAAATAACATCATGTATTTATCAGATATTCAAAATATCATCTGGAATCACCAGAGTTCATTGATTTGGTATTTCACCCAAGCATACATTATTTTTCATAAGCTCATTAGGTTTCTTTTTACAGAAAATTGATAGAAACTAAAAAAAGAATAATGGTTCACAATCAGGCTATATTTGGGGAAAAGTCACATGGTTACTAGGTAAGAATGATGAAAACACTTGTACCAACATTAAGATACTGATGCTGGGGTTATTGATGCTAACAGAATTATGTTTATGTGATGCTAATGAAACATCAGTGTTTTATCAGCTTACTACTCTGCTGATGGATATTGCTAATTGAAGGCTAAGCATTAAAGTAAGGTGTATTCTACTTTGCCCAATAGTTTACAGTAGTTAAAATGGTCTTATGAGCTAACTCCAACAAGTAAACAACATTTTGCTTAGCCAAAGAAGAAAATATTCAGAAGTAATCTAAGAACTTCACATAAAAAGTGAGTGATGCTGTCCATGCTAGGTGACATAAATGCTTGATGAACTACTTTATGCAGTAGTGGTATAGTAGGTTCAATATAGTGACAAATTATTTGCTGCTACTTCTATTGATAGTTGGCATCTAATTCCCTTCCCTTTAAAACTGAGCTGGCCTTAGTGACTTAACAATAGAATGCTGTAGAAGTGGCTTTCTTGGATATCTGAGGATAGGTAAAAAGCCTGGCAAATTCTGCCTAGGGCCACTTGTAACACTGTCTTTAGGAGCCCTGAATTACCCATGTTAAGTTGTATATGACCTATTTGCGATCACCATGCTTGAGAGGCCATGTGTAAGCATTCTAGTCAATAATCCCAGCTGAACCCAGCCTTTCAGCCATCCTTAACAAGGTGCCAGAGGTGCAAATGAAGCTGTCTTGGACTGTCTAGATCAGCTCATTCGCCAGATGAACACCACTGGGCCACCTCTGTCAATACAACATCCAACAGATGAATCATCTGTCTGAACTCTGACCAATTCATGACTTACAAAATCATAAGCTATTTGTAATATAATGGTTGTGGTTTTAAGCCAGTAAGTTTTTGGATTAGTTTGCTACACATCAATAGGTAACTGGAACAATTAATCAGAAATCTCTGATATTAAACCACTATCAGAAATGACTTACCTTGCACCAGCCAATATAACGACCAGTTGCAGTGCGGACAGAAGCAAAGCCCATTTGTAAATGACCAGGCTGCTCTTCAACATATTTAGACTGGAGCGGCGGTGCCGTATATATGGGGAGCTACAGGCAAAAAATGTTCATGTCAAAAACAAACTAGCTGGACTGTCCATATCAGCAGTATGGCAGAACAGGAATCCTCATCAGCCTCCTTCCTAAAAACAACTAGAAATGCTGATAAAATATTTTTTAAAAATCATCTTTAATACAGGAATGATGTAGTAAACTGTTTATAAAGATGATTTAAAACCCAGAAATTAAAAAATGCCGAATATAGTAATAACCCAGTGGTCCTACTCCTATGTATATTTAGAGAAAGTATTATTTTGCACACCCAGAGTTATGTATAATAATATTCACAGGAACAATTTAATTACAACCAACTCAATGCCCATCCACAGTAAAATGGATAAACTGGGGTATATTCGTACAAAGAAATATTAGGAATCAGGGGGTAAATATAAAAATTATAGCAACATGGAAAAATTTAGATGAATTTCAGGAATATAATGGTACTTAAAAAAAACCCAAAAAACATACTGCTTAGCAAAACAGACATATAAGGTAAAATTTAAAAGGAGGGGAATAATAGTAAAAACTTAGGGTAATGGTAACCTCTGAAAGGAATGAAATGGGAACACAGGGGATTTTGTTTTCCTTTAAATTGGGTGGTAGGTTCATATTATTATTATTATTCATACCTTTCATAGTTTGAACAGCCTTTTGATTCTAATTAATATTTAATAAAAACAAATATAAACAAAAGAACAATGAAAACTTTAAGCAGGTAAGGACTTATTTCCTTTAAAAAAAAAAACATTTTTTTTTTGCTTTTATATTTAGGGTATAAATCCTCCTATAAAATTTGGTGTTTGATGAAGATATAACCGGGAAGAATGAAGTTTACAAATCAACAGCAAAGGAACTAGATGATTAATAACTTTGGATTTGGTCCTTTACCAACAACAAACATGAAACTATAGTTAATACTGTATTGTATTCTTGGAAAATTCTAACAGTGGGTGTAATATGTCCTCATCACATAAACGATTAACTATCTAGGGTAATACATATGTAAATTAGAGAGATTTAGTCATTCCACAATGTATATATACTTCAAAGCATCATGCTGTACAAGGTAAATGCATACAATTTTTTGCCAGTTTTTTTTCTAATTAAAAAAAAAATGTCTATATATAAAACATAGGACAATGTCAGTTTGGTAAAGTTTTTCCAGTATTAAGTCAGAAACGTATTGTTTTGACATTAAATGACTCTTTACTACCCATACTAGGTTAAAGAGTGTTTCTCTTTCTGTACTAATGCTTAGACTTAAATCCACCACAATGGCAACTATGTGTAATTAGGAAGATGAGAGATGCATATTTTATATTAAAGATGCACTTTATATATGAAAAGCAGGTACAGTGCAAGTAGGGAAGTTTCCTCTCTCCTATAGAAAGGGGAGATATATATAGATATACTGGTGTCAGAATGGGTAACGTTATTTACTTATATGTGTATCCATCATGTTTCTATCCTCTCTATTCTTTACACATCCCAATTTCAAACTTTTTTACACTCATTGTTTTTATTCTCTCTCCTCTGTCCCCATCAAAACCTGCCGATTACATTTTTATTTATTTATTTATTTTTTGGTCTTGCTTTGTCATCGAGGCTAGAACACAGTGGCATGAACACAGCTCACTGCAGTTTCAACCTCCTGGGCTCAAGCAATCCTTCCATCTCAGCATCCTGAGTAGCTGGGACTACAGGTACACCTCCACTGCACTTGGTTAATTTTTGTATTTTTTGTAGAGATGAGGTTTTACCCTGTTGCCTAGACTGATCTCCAATTCCTGAGCTCAAGCAATCCGTCCGTGGTTCACGCCTGTAATCCCAACACCTTGGGAGGCCCAGGGTGGGTGAATCATCACGAGATCAGGAGCTCAAGACCAGCCTGGCCAAGATGGGTGAAACCCTGTCTCTACTAAAAATACAAAAATTAGCCAGGCATGGTGGCACACACCTATAATCTCAGCTACTCGGGAGGCTGAGGCAGAGAATTGCTTAACCCCGGGAGGCTGAGGTTGCAGTGAGCCGAGATCGTGCCACTGCATTCCAGCCTGGGCAACAGAGGTAGACTCTGTCTCAAAAAAAAAAAAAAAAAGAAAAGAAAAGAAAAAGAAATGTTCAGGGATGTCTAGGGATGGTTATATACATGTAGTCCAATTGCCAGTCATTTTACTGATCTGAAAACTGCAGATTTCACCGTTAAAACAAATGATTGTCCCATGGTCCTACAGAGTTTTCTATTACAAGGAGATTTAATTACGTTCACTAGACGGCATATAAGGCAGGAATACACTGAGAATATTTAAAAAGATGTTCAGTGAGAAGAGTTGAATTAAAACAGGATTTTCTGTTAAGTTACAAATTTAACAGAAGATTCAAATAACCAAATAACCAGAACACTTCATTCATAAAGTATTCTGGTTTAGTAGAGGCTTTATTATAGATGTAAACAAGAAGTACAGCTCACTTTACACAACAAAAGTAGCTAGGAGTGTTGCACATAAATCACATTTTCATCCCTTCAGAAATTCTACATTCCTCAAGGATTAGAACCTGACTTTTTGTATAGTCCCTAGCACATAGTTGGCAACTAACTTTGTTTAATATGTAATTCAATTAAATTATATATAAAATGTACTTGGGGACTACAATAAATACCAAGGAATACTGTGTATTCCATAATAAACAGCACTACTTAATTTTAAAATTTCAAAAATTAAATTCAGCTATTAGGGACTTATCTTCCTACCCAGATTTGAGCTGTCCAGATATGAGAGTGTCAAGGAAGACTTAAAACCAACATCCTCTTAAGATTAATAAAAGGAAAAAAAAAAAAACTTAGAATCAGTTGATGTGGAGAGGAATGACTCCACCCTAGACCGTTAATGAAAATAAACTTACCTAATGATTAAAACAGTGCCTCACACATATACAAGAGGAGCTTGGAAAATATTTTTGGTTGAATTTATGAATATTACCTTTGTGCATGTTGAGTTTAGCAATATTATCAATTTTTTGTGCCTTTTGACCTACACTTCTGCTTCCAGAAATTCATTCTAAGGAAATGGTTATAAATGTATATATAGATTCAATACAAAGTGGTTCGACAAGTACTGATTAGAATAGCAATAACTGGAAATAGTCTATATTTCCAAAAATTTCTGAAAATTTTACATTTATTTGATGGTGATATATTCACACAACAGAATACTTATGACATCATTAAGAATTCTGTCCAGTGTCATCTAACTAGTCAGTCGTGGAATCAGGATTCAAATTCAGGCCTGATTCAAAAACATATTATTAAGTGTATAAATAAATCTTAGGGGTGACTTAAAGTGGGAAGAGACAAAAAGCACAATGTTGAATAGAATTAGTAACCACAATTACAGCTCAACAGGCTGGCATGATAAGCCAGATCAACAAGATAAAATTTAAACAGGTATATATATACCTTCAACAGATTCCAAAAAGTTCAAATGCCTGTACAGACTGGGATGAGGCATAGCTTACCAGTAGCCCATGTAAAAAGGCTTAATGAATTTTAGAGAACCACATGCTTACTATGCCATGGTCAAAAGCTGCTTATGAGCATGGTTGATTTTGAGCACTCGAATATAAAAACTAATGTGATCTTAGACAGCATTAATAGAAATATAACATCTGGAAGAGAAGAAATCAGAGTCTGACTCTATCGTGTAGCAGTCAAAACACATCTTGGTTCGTACATCCAAGTCATGGCACCAAAAAACAACGTGTTTTCTAAAAAGAAAAGCAAAGTACTTACACCAGAAGAAAACACTAACTATCTTGAACATGCTTGGCAGAAGATGTTCATGACAGTCAGGAACTCAAAGCTGTGATGTATGAGAAATAGTTGAAGCAACTAAATGCTTTAAAATGTTTACCCTGGAAGCAAATTACTTAAAGTATAACTGATATTTACAGGCTTGTTTTCTGAAAGAGAGAAGGAGTTTTCTGTATGGCACCAATGCAAGAGATACAGCACCAACAGGTGGAAGTTATTATGAGACAAATTTCTGTCTGACATAAGAAAGGACCTTAAGTTAAATGAGAGAATTCAGAAAATGGAATGGGCTCCTTAGGCTCCTTTACTGAGTTTTATTCACATAGAGGATATATGGCCACTACATGTGCCTACTATAGAGGGAATTAAAATGCCATACAGAAGGTTCATCTACAAAATATCTAAGGTCACTTCCAAAACTGAGATCTTAATGAATTTCTTAAACTGAAGTTTCCTAATTCTTAATGTACCTTTATAAGTTTTTCAAGAAAGAAAAATCAGACAGCCTACAAGGTCTAACACCCTCTACCACTTACTGATTATTCATTAAGAAAAATCACCAATTGGAATTTTAAATGGTTGAGTTAAATACTGACTTTTAAGATACTTCATAACAATTTCTCTCAACTTATAAAATATACCTAATAAAAACTTCTAAGAAAGTTTTGATGAGCAAAGATAATTTTAAAATATAGCTTTTGTGTCATCTTGATATTATACAAAGTTCATAAACCTTTGTAGGCAAATTACCTGCTCTGGTTTCACTAGCTGCTTTTTGGGTTCCTCTTCTTTGGTTGCATGTACACTTACAGATGCATAAATCAGACCTGTAGGCATGGTTGTCAGTTTTCCCATCTGAGAAAGATATAACAGAAACACCGTTTTAGTTGAAAAGCTTTCCATCTTTTATTTCCTAACAAATTCTGGAGGAATCTCAGGAAATCTATTGGTTTCACCTTAATATATTAAATACTCAAACACTCCAAATTATTTCATACATTTTTAAGACATATTATCTTCTCATACTGGATGGCAGAGTACTATTTTTACCTGTCTGTTAATTACCTACTTCATAAGGAATATAGCAATATATTTATCTGGATTATTATTACGTAATAATATAGCAGTGTAATAATTACTAACATTTGAAGGATGGAGTAGGATTGGTCTTGCTATTCATTCAGTCCAAAAACTTTAATTGAACACCCACTATGTGCCAGATTGGTTTCAGTGCTTAGAATACATCAGTGAACAAAACAAAGATTCCCACTCTCATGCAAATGAAATTCTAGTAGAGAGGAGAGAGGCAATAAACACAATAAATAAATGATGTAGTACATTATAAGTTGACAAATGCTCTGAAGAAAGCAAAGGATAAGAGTGGTCTGGAGTACTGGGTATTGCAGGCTGCATATTGAAATATAATTTATATAAACATTATCCATAAAAATGAATTCCTTCTATTATAAATCCTTTGCTCCTGATTTTCCCAATGCATTCCGCTTTACCTGTTTCATACTTAATTTAAAGCAAAAAGTGATCTTTGTTTTAGCTATAATTTGATTTGAATTAAGAATGCAGGAAAATTACTGGCTCTAAAAATAAAGTGCTCTAGTGTTATTCAGGTATCAAAATAATTCCCAAAGATTATCCATTCAACAAGGCCAGTGTAAAGCTTTCCAAGGTACAAATATTTTAACATTCTGATTCTTAAATGGGAAAGAAGTTTCTTGAATTTGACAAAGGACATTATGAGGGAAGAGGCCTCCTTGTTTTACACACAAATAAAATTGTGCAAGACATGGAAGAATCACTGGCTAAAAAATTCTAAATGTTCTCCAATGACAGTGATAGTACTTATACTTCATTTCTGATACTACTTTTCATATTTTCTGAGAAGAGCAAGGGAAGCTACACAGGTAAAATCAGTTAAGAAATTTGCTGTTTAAACTGGGCAGGACTCTGATTTCGATTGGAGCTGTAAAAATACAGGGTAAAATTAGAGTCAACAATAAGAAGATAAATTTTGTTTATTCTCCTCCCCCATGCCTCCTTCTAGTACAGGCAATAGCATGACAGAATGATTTACCTAGGCATGCTTCCCTTAAAGACATCACTTTTTTTATTTCTTATATCCAGTTGGTATTCATTAATGAAATAACAAGATTTCCACACCATACCTATGTCAGGTATAAATTAAATGTATATTAAAACTACAAGCAAAATTACCTAAAGCATAACTGATATTTAAAGATTTGTTTAAATATCAAACAAGTATGCTCCCCATGAACCAGAGGAATTTTGTTAATAAAAGCGCTGAAGTTATTACAGGAAGGATGTACAATTTTATAACATGTAAAAGCTTTTTCTGATACCTGACTAGACTTTACTTCTTCCTAAGGTACTACTCCCTGGATATAAGACAAATACTTTCAAAATATGCTAATATCTGAATTTTTTCAACACACTAATGATCACAGAGTATACTCACATTACTTCACATAATGCAATAATAATATGTCGACTATAAAAGAATATTATAGGTATTGCTTGATAATTATGATCTAGTATTCCAGATTTTGGAATTACTACTTGAGTTCATAGCCTAAAAGTTAATATACCTTGAAAACTGCCTAAATAATTTCTCCACATTTTTTACTCTGTAAGGTAATAAAGGTCCTCCCATTCTTTCCTACTGTTTTCATAGATTCCTTGACTTTTATTGAGGAGGTAGTATGGCACAACGGAAAAAACAATGAGCTTAGGGCCGGACACAATGGTTCACGCCTGTATTCCCAGCACTTTTGGGAGGATGAAGTGGGTGGATCAACTGATGTCAGGAGTTCAAGACCAGCCTGACCAACATGGTGAAATCCTGTCTCTACTAAAAATACAAAATTAGCTGAGAGTGGCGGTGCACGCCTGTAGTCCCAGCTACTTGTGAGGCTGAGGCAGGAGAATCGCTTGAACCCAGGAGGCAGAGGTTGCAGTGAGCTGAGATCACGGCATTGCATTCAAGCCTGGGCAACAAGAGCGAAACTCTGTCTAAACAAAAAAATGTATGTATATATGTATATATATATATATATAAGCTAGGAGTTACATAGAACTTATTGTCTAAACATGAACAAGTTACTTAAGCTCTTCAAGTTATGCTGCGCAGTATGGCAACTACAAGCCGCATGTGGTTATTTAAATTGAAATTAAGATCATTAATAAATAAAAACTTCAGTCACATTAGTCCCATTTCAGGTACTCAACAGCCATAATGTAGAGCACAGATTTAAAAAAAAATCCATCCTTGCAGAAATTTCTAGTGGACAGTGATGTCTTAATTAGGTTAGCTGATTATTATTAGGTTAAATATCTGAAAAAATAGGTATGCCATCCTGCTTATGATTATCACATGGATTAAATAAGGAGTTATATTAAAATGACTTACACTCAGTACATAGGCAATTAAGTTTAGTTTCCCATTCCTTCTGTTTGCCGAATAAAGAAATTAAATGGCTGTGCTTATTCCTCATTTTCTTTTCACATGTATTTGATGCTAATCAGGCTCTAGTGAGAAGAGAGATAACAATAAAATCTATCCAACGGATTTATTAAATCCAAACAAAAAAAGGTTGCAATTTTTGTCAAAAGAAATCAGGAAGACTGGCACATTAGGGCATCTTCAAGTCTAGGTTATAGGTGAAGTATATGTCACTTCACCAGGTTAAGATGTCACTTCACCAGTTTAAGATGACCAGATATGTCATCTTAAAGAGGGAAAGCTGATGGTACAGCACATTGAAAAATTTTGCACAAAGATTGGCAAACTACAACTCTGGGCTAACTCTGGCCTGGACTCTAAGCTAAAAATGTCTTTAAAAGACATATTTAAAGGTTTGTAAAAACAAAGAAGAATATGTGACAAGAGATCTTATGCAACCTGCAAAGCCTAAAACATTTATCATATAGCCCTTTACAGAAAAAAATTTGCCAGCCTACAACTGAGAAAACCAAATAAGATATTTAAAAAGTATCAGAATTTGGGATGTTATAAAAACTTATAGCCTCACGAGACTGTCATTATCAAACATCATTAAAATTGAGCGGAGATAATCGAGTTTTCACAGGAGGTTAAGACCTTGATTTAAAACTATTTGTAACTTTGAAATAACCTGTCAAGTCAAAATTATGACTTACTTAAAATCAATGAGAGATTAAAAACTGGCTCTCTACAAAAGATAACAGGTCCTAAAACAGAATTCTCTCACATGGAAATTTACAAACAGCAAGGCTAAAAGAGGAGCATGAGGGAACTTACCCATAAGACTCACCCCCTCCAACTGTTCCTGCAATAAAAATATAGCTGATTCTTGTTATTTGCAGCAGTTATATTCTATAAAGTAGCCGTAAATACTGATTTACAGAATATTGAACCATTTCTCCAGGGGAAAATACAGGGTTAGCTTCCTGTGATACCAAGGTTTTTGAAGGTTTTTATCATGACCTGATGTTAAATTTTATCAAATGCTTTTTCAGCATCAGTTGAAATGATCACATGATTTTGATCCTTCATTCTGTTGGTATGATGTATCACATTGACTGATTTACATATGCTGAACCATCCTTGCATCTCTGGGATAAATCCTACGTGGTCATGATAAAATGATCTCTTTAATGTGTTTTGGAATTTGGTTTGCTGGTATCTTGTTGAGAATTTTTGCATCAATATTTATCAGGGATATTGCTCTGTAGTTTTCTTTTTTGATGTGTCTCTGATTTTAATATAAGGGTAATATTAGCCTTGTAGAATGAGTTTGAAAGTATTCCCCTCTCCTGTATTTTTCAGAATAGCTTCAGTAGAACTGTTATTTCTTCTTTAAATGTTTCGTAAAATCCATCTGTGAAGCTATCAAGTCCTAGGCTTTTATCTCCTGGGAGATTTTTACTACATCTCATTGTTATTTGTCTGTTCAGATTTTGGATTTCTTCATAGTTCAATTCTGGTAGGTTGTGTGTGTCTAGGAATTTATCCATTTCTTCTAGATTTTCCAATTTATTGGCATATAGTTGATCACAGTAGCCACTAATGATCCTCTGAATTTCTGTAGTATTGGTTGAATGTCTCCTTTTTCATCTCTGATTTTATTTATTTGGGTGTTCCCGCTCTTTTGTTAGTCTCCCTAAAGGTTTGTAAATTTCATCTTTTAAAACAGCCAACTTTTTGTTTCATTGATCTTGTGTACTGTTTTCTTCATTTCAATTTCATTTATTTCTTCTCTGATATTTATCATTTCTTCTACTGATTTTGTGTTTGGTTAGCTCTTGCTATTAAGAATTTTTATTCTGGGAGGTGTGAAGATGGCTGATTAGAAGCAGCCAGTGCATGCTGCTCTCAAGGGGAAGATATATAGTAGCCAGTAAACACAAGCTCTTCCACTGAATCATCCAGGAGGACACACTGGAATTCATTAAGGGAGCACCATGACCCACAGAGAGCAAAGATGTGCAAGGCAGGACAGCTGCTCACCCAGGACTGGCAGGAAGACAACGGAGCTCCCCACCACAGGGAAATGGTAAGTCAGCAAAAGCCACCAGGGACTCACACTTGTGCCATGAACCTTTGCAATCCTGGGCACAAGAGATCTCCACAGACCCTCTACTCCCAGGGCCTCCAGACTGACACGGGCTGCCTAGAGTCTTCTGGGTAGAGTTGCCACTCAGGCACATAAGGAGCCCCAAGGGCCTTGGACTCCTGAGCACTCTTGTACCAGCTACCATAGCTGCACCAATAAGTGAGGCAAGACTCTCTCACATGCTCCCAGGACAGAGGCCACATGCATGGTACTGAGGAATGGATGGAC